ACACACACACACACACACACACACACACACACACACACACACACACACACTAATATTGCATGTCAGTTGGTCCTCTTAGTGACCCCTGTATTTCATGGGTCAATGATTTACAAGTAGCACTCTGATTACTACTGGAGAACACACAAGTATTGGAATTATTTGTATTAAGCATTTGTGCACATATAAAACCCTATGGCTTTATTATCATCACAATCATCTACATTGGAGTTGCAAACCTATGGCATAAGTGCTACAAGTGGCATTGGCAACCTGTATGGCACATGGCAGATCAGGTAGGAGACATGCCAAAAGTATAGCAGCAACTAGGGCAGAAAGCAGATCAGGAGATCAGGCTGGGAGGAGATCAGGCTGGGAGCACAAGACAGGAAGCAGAAAGCACAGGAGACTGCACAGAGTGGGGAGCGGAAAGCAGAGGAACAGATTGGGGAAGGGAAGATTAGAGTGGCACTTGGGAAGGGTACAGGGCTAACTTGTGGCATGCCTGTCAAAAAAGTTGGCACTCCACTAATCTCCATGATGCCACAACATACCCACATTCACTTTGCTACTCGGAGCCAAAACCATCCCTGAAGAATTGCTGGACTCTTACCAAAATAAACATCATAACATTTTAGGACCTGACAAAACAACACTTGTACCCTTTATCAAGGGTTATAGTTATAAAAATGTATAACCTTGCTCTATGTTCAGCTCTTTTGTATTGGGTTTATATGTAGTACACTGAGAAAGTATATTTGGTTTACTTTACATTTTTTGAAGTATTATACTACAGGTGTAGGCATGTAAAATCATTAATAATTAAACGCTTGCAATAACGCACTAAAGGGAATGAGGTTACTGTGGGCCTCCAAAGTCCCACAAAAGGAGTTAAAAGGGAGTCAAAGGGAGTTTAAAAAGGAAAAAAAAAACTTTCTGTGGATCCAGGCAACTTTGGACCAGGCCTTTATCTTCAGGTGATCAGACATACAAATCTGCTTTTGTTCTTGCTGGAAAACTTACTATCAAGAGACATTTTTAGCACAGAACAGGCAATTTTTTATTCATGGCTTACAATTTTTTTATACAATTCCCATAAGCAAAAAACCTTCCATGACTGCTATAAATAAAAAGTAAAGTTAATGCATACGAGAGCTGATTTTATGGACAGTGATCTGAAATTGGGCAACCCTGTCCCAGAGGGTACAGAAAATAGTCCACTTTGAATGTTCATCAATCCTGGAACTTCAAACACATTTCCAATGAAAATGACAATTTTGGTGATTACTCCTATGACACAAACTAGTCCATAAGGAAAAGAACAGTACCAACTAATTTTTGACTAATTAGCTATCAGATGGTAATTTTTTATTACCATAATTCCCTGGGCCATGCTGAGTGATTGAATTATTTCATTTCTTCTTTTTCAAATACACAGTGTGCTAAGGGAACAGTAGTAGAATGCAGGCAAGTTGCTGAGGTAGGTGACTTCAGTTTGCATTTTCCATCTATGTGAAAAAAGTAAAACTGCAGGGAAAAACAGTGTTAGAGCCAACAGATAGGATTTAGGGTACTCCTTAGCATACACAGGAACAGCACACATTATGAAGTAAGCAATTTTTTCTGCAGTAGTTTAGAATGATCAAACACACTGAGACGTCACATTTCAATTTATATACAGTAAGTAAACAAGTCTTTTGGCTGTTGGTATCTGATATATACTATGTAAATTCTCTATTTAGATTGGATAGTTTGCTGATAAACTTATAAAATATCACACGAGGAATCCCAGAAATAGAAAAAAATAACCCTAACACTTCAGTAACTTTCAGAAATAGCAAACTTTTTTGGAATTCATAGCATGTAAGGTAATCATTCCCAGCCAAACTATGCCTGCAGGCAAAGACTTATAATGTGTACCAGTCAAATGTGAATAATTTAGTATTTGCTATTTTTGTAAGAGAGATTAAACAGGAAATTTTGGAAAATCAAAAGAGTTGTACAGCCTCTTCTTTACCAACTTGAATACAAGTTTTTTTTTTCTTTTTACAATGAATGAAAACTGGAATAATAATTAACAATAAAAACTTGAAGGACAGGCCTACAGAGGAAAATATACTAACCCACAATTTGTAAGTAACAAAAAGAACTTGGTGAGCTGTCTTAGTATGTGGATTAAACAGAGAACATGTGATCAGTGCCAAGATGAGTAAATGATGTATTGGCTACATCTGAAATTACTCTACTAATATACCTATGATTTAATAGACATTACCACAGCATGGATGAATTCAGCCATTATGACTTGCTGGATGCCAACTCGTATAGAAAAGTTGCAGAAGGACACAAAGCAAGTTTTTGTCTTGAAGATACCTCCTGTGATTATGGATATTATAGACGATATGCATGTACAGCACATACACAGGTAAGTGAACAAACTTTTTTTTCTTGAAATTTGTCTTCCTTGAGATTTATATTTATCCATATATGTTCCAATTCTAAGGTACCTTGACCAGATCTGACAGAATCGGCCCAACATAGGGGATATCCTAGTGGTATAAGGCTAGGGTGGCAGAAGTTGTACTGTCCTTCCTCATCGGCCACGAAAGGGATTCTAGTTGCTAGGACTAGAGAGTCCTGAGTTTTTCTTGCAACCCAAGCTTATTGGCAGGTAGTTCACATCAAAACAGACACCAAGCTAATATCATTTACATCTAGAGTACTGCAGTGTCAGCTTACAGGGGGTATCCCAGGACTGGGGACAATGAAGAGGTGGGTTAAGGTCCAAATATTTCCACTAAATTTGTAGTGTGCTGTTTGGCTGCAACCAATGGCTAATTCTCTCCGATCTTGTTCTAAAATAAAATGCTGAGTGCCTCCACTTCCATTACTATCAAAAGGACATGAAGGAGTCCATGACAATATAGCATTTTGCTCTGTTCACATGTATTACAGCCATTCAAGAAAATGGGAGCTGTGTGAACATAGCCAGTAAAATATGTCCCTTTTAAAAAAAAGAAAAAATAAGAGATGAGGTAGTAATTTTATCATTGGGAAATACCAGCTATGCTGCATTGGTTGATGTGTCCACATTTAAACCCTACTTTGAATGCATAATCTACATATGTAAAAGCTTTGAAGAGGGTTTAAAAATATATTTTTATCTTGTGCAGACAACATCATTGAACTAAGCAATGAATATATTTTACAGCTGGAGTATTTATGTCACTAGTCAAGGCTGTGTCAGCATTTCCATTGGAAACCCATATTTTCAGGAGTTTGTAACTGGACTGTAAAACTTTGCTCCAGCCTCAAACTTGGCACAGGGAGGTGGGACAAGTTGAATACCAGCTGGAGTTAGGAGGGAGTTCCTCCGTAGCTTTGTCTTACAAGTTGAACACTTTTCTAGGACACCTTTTTCTAAAACAGCCTATATGTCACTGTTGAAGATCTTAGATCTAAGATGTGGTATGCTCTCAGTGTGGCAATTCCTCTTCTGTTCCTAACAATGGAGTGGTGGTTTTTTTTGTGTAGATCAGTTTGGAAACACTTCTGCTGCCATTTTGGATTTCCTCAAAATTGTTGTGATCACTTCTGAAATTTCAAAACCTTTGCTTATTTGAACAATATTATATTATTAGGCTATTTTCCTAATTAGAGTATATATCAAAATACCTCTTTAACTCCATGACTTTCCTATTACAAGAAAGTACTTCACTTTTATGAATGGCTGCAGACTAACCTTGATGTCAAAGGAAGCACGTAGCTTAAGAGGAGTCAAAGGCACTGCCACTGGCAATCAAATCAGTTTCATATTTGGAATATAATTTGAGGCTTACAAATCTGGTTAAGCCTTATTTTGTCTGAAAAGACTGTAAATAAACAACACCAAGTAATAGAGTTAGTAATATGTATAAGTAAGTAGGATTGCTTACTACAAGTAATGCTTAAATATTTTGTGTATATTATCAAATACACATTTTCAAAAATAATCATGGAAGTGAATAAAGTATTGGGTGTATTTCAGAATTTTTATTTGAAGCTTTTCTTTTTTCTTGAAAATTGTATTTTAAATGCTTTCATGAATGTATGTTCTGATAAGTTTTTGACAATAGAAACAAAGTAATCGTTTGTGATGTGTCAAAGCTAGGTATTATTTAAATTCAAAGTCATCTATTAAACTCATTCACTGATGTGCAATAATTCTGTTTCTCAGTGATGTGCCTTAAGGAAGCATTATAGTATTAAGTCCCTCTTGCTTCCCACTGTCTTAGCACTGCTAATATCTGAAAGTATTGTTCCTTAGAATCACTTGTTTCTATCTATCCACATTTTTAGGGACTGAGTCCTGGCTGCTATGATACCTACAATGCTGATATAGATTGCCAATGGATTGATATTACAGATGTAAAACCTGGAAATTACATTTTGAAGGTATACAAGGTTCATTGGGTGAATCGGATATCTTTTATTAGACCAGCTTAAATAGTTGGAAAAAAATTTTAAGCAAGCTTTTAGGTTTAAAAACCTTTAGTCAGGCTGAGGAAGTCTCTGCAGTTGGTGTGTGCTTTTACTGGATGGAATGAAAAGTAAAGAAGCCAGAGGTTGGGCTGGTATGCATACAAGATAGGCAGTCAGTGAAGATGTAAACTGAGGAGTCAGTGGGTGAGAGACAGGCTGGGTGGGGGGGAAAGAAGGGGGTGAATAGTGGAGAGGTACCTGGGGAGTCGGATGTCAGGCAGGTTATAATTCTGAAGGTATGTTATTTCTTTAAAGAAACAATTGAGATTCTTATTAAGCCTGCAAACTACATTGTCAAACTAAGCCCTAAAGTAAACACTACTTTTCCTTCCTCACAGGTTAGTGTAAACCCTAGCTATTTGGTACCAGAGTCTGATTACTCCAACAATGTAGTACGATGCGATATCCGATATACAGGCCATCATGCATATGCTTCTGGTTGCACAATTTCACCGTAAGTACATTCTTGTTTGCAACTACCATAAACTCATAACATGAAGGTTAACAATTAGGACCCTATAAACATTTATCAAGATCTGTTCCTCTCTTTGTGCAAGGACACCCCCTAAAATTCTTGTGACAAGATGTTGTTTTTGAAACCTTTGATACAATTTATAGGGATTTTTAGATTACTGTTATTATAACTGGGTTCTCAATGCTACACTGACTAAACCACTCCCTGAATTTCCATACACATACAAACCTCCAGCTGCTCATCTGATTCTTATACACAGAATCACCCAAACCTCTTAAAAGACTTTTAGCTATCTGCTTAAGACAGTAAAAACACCTCCTTATGTATTATGTTGCTGCCACAGAAAATCTATCCAGAATACTTTTTTCCAGGAGCACTCTGTCTGCTGTTTTTGTTACCTCTTCTGACGTTTGCACTTTGTAGTCAATTAAAGCAGAAATGAACTAAAAAGTACTTTGTATTGTGAAATCACTTATAAAACTGGGCTGCAAATGATGCACATATTTTCACCCATGTGAGATTCTAGGTTCATATCACACTCATGTCATAAAAGCCCCAAGTTAAACATGATTGGCTTAGTCCTTTATTTGTTCTTACCACCTGCATTTGTGGAAGACTGAGAAGCAGAACAGGACAACTGACAACTGCAGGTCAAGTGATGATTTTTTTGGTAGAGCTGTGAAAGGAAGCTTTCACAGCATCTCCTCTAGTAGATTAATTAGCATGCCCAGTAACAGCATTTCTTCACTTAAACTCAGTGTCAGGAGGAGTTATTTATACAAAGTTATTTTGCTTTGCACCTCCCTTTTTCAGCTCCCAAAGTTTAAGAAAATAGCTGCATTCATGAAGACAGAAAGGAGAAAAGGTTCTTTCATCCCTTTTGTACTGCTATGTTCAGGTTGATGCATAAACTGGATTTAACATAGATTTATTTGATTAAATACTAATTTGGTATTAAGCAAATAAGTTTGTTTAATATGCTCTGGTTCTTAACAACTGTTTCTTTTTCTTTTTTTAATAGATACTAAGATGCAAGAAAATGGATGAGTCAGTGCCAGTGTTTTGAATTGAAATGTTATATAAATTCAATAGGATGTAAACACTTTATAAAAACAAATGCAGAGTACACATACATACATACCCTTATCTTATGTGATTTTGAAGCATAATGGCTGCTTCATAACAACATTTGTAACTGGATTTTAGGCATTCAAATTGGCATTGCTTTTTAAAAAAATGATTGAAATGTGTGGAAATGGTGATTCATGCACAGATTTTCAAATTTTACAGGAAATCAAGTCATTCACAGAAACCATACGTGTTTCGTTAACTCTGCTGGAAATCAGAGTGCAGATAACAGCAGGATTTGATCAATACATTGCCTGTGAATGAACTGAAAACATTAAGGAGTAGAAGTAGAAAGAACTAATGTTAGCTAGTCCAATGAATGTCAAAACAAAGACCAACTTGGGAACGGTGCTCCTGCCATTACAGTAAGATTGATTTGCATTCATTTAATGCAAATGAGAAGTATGTTCAGTTTAAAAGGGATATCAATGCACGGCAATGTTTATATATGCATTAGTTACCCCCTGCATATGACACTTGTTTACATTTTTAATATGTTAATAGGCAAACCATTTTCTTAAAGAATATGTGAGGGCCTATTTTGTTTTTTAGAATAGAACTGGAGAACTGAGCCACCTTTCTGTAGGAACAGAGATTTTTAAAGTAAACTCCTAAAAAGATCCACCATGAATTCAGTGTGGGTAATGTGGATTAGAATGCATTTCTGTCCCTCAGAGTCAGGCTACTGAAAGAGACGTTGGACAGTCCCTGATGTCATCATAATCTGTGAAAACAAGGGTAAACTGAACAGGTTAATCAACTGAAAAAACTGACAGTGGCAGTCAACTCAGGTGGCACCACAAATAAAAGTTGATCAAAGGCTTATCAGGATTTTCTTGGAAGAAAAGCCTTCTACTTGTATTCCCATTAACGTTATTTTACATTACGTACTGTATTTGATTGTTAATTGCGCATTTGTATTATTCAAGGATTAAAATATTATGCAATATTCATGGACTGATAGTTGACATACGCAAAATGCTTTAGTTAGGTTGTTCAGGAGCTCATCATTAAACTTTTTAAAGTGAGTAGCTTTGTCCCAAATTAAGAAGATAGTCTATGCTGCTTACTAGTGATGGTTCCCAAAACAGAGAAACAGTTTTGCTTATGCAATGGACCATGCTGTAAGCTGAAATAGCTGTGATTTTTTTTTAACTGTGAAATAAGTTCTTATAAAAGAGCCCGGTTAGTTTTTCAGTACTGATGGTACAATTTACATGGTTTGCTCTGACCCTGATTTGATCATGCTCAACTAGCAACTGCCAACGCTCAAAGACTTTCAGAGTAGTAATAAAATGTACTGTTGATTAAAATAAGAAAGCATTGAATAGCTTGAGAAATAGAAAGTGTTCTTTTAAAATTAACAGGAATATTTTAATCAGTATTTGGGAAAATTCCATGCAAAAGAACCATAGAAATTTAATTTATAAAATGTACGAGATGTCAGGATAACCTTAAGGGCTAGGGACCACCTGTTTCTTTTCAGTACATACTTCAGTTTCTTGTTTTTAAGATTATCAAAAGCTTCTGCACAAATCCTGATCAGGTTATGGCATAATAACAAAACAATTATAACATAAGTAAGTACCTAAGTGGACAGTAAAGACTAAAGGACCATCAACTCAGAGGGTACAGCCCTTGAAGATCACATACTCAGTTTGATATTTGAGTACAGAATGAATACAATTTATGATATCAGGCTCCAAAGTTTTCCACGTGCTTCATTTCATTGATCAAACACTTAATTTATACTAATTGCAAATGTATGCATCTAACTTTAACAGAAAAGTTTGAACATTAGATTCTTGGTACTTTTACTATATGCATATCATGAGTTAATGTGTGCCTTTATTTTTCAATACAATATCCTATATTTCTCTGTATTATAACTCACTGCAAACATATGCTCCAGACTGAAGTTTGGTTTTCAAGGTATGAGCCCCAGAAAAATGTTTTTAGAGTGATATTTTTTCCCAAATAGAAATACCTGTAAAGAGATATAGCTGCATTGATATTTCCTTCCCCTAAAATGATTTAGGCCAAATTTTCAAATCTAGTTAGTTGGTTTGATCCTGCAGCTTATATGTGTGGAGCTGCACTAAAAGTCAGTGAGGCTCCCCATAGACCCACCTGTGTGGAGCAAGCAGCAGGTAACTAAATTAAACTGGCCTTATTCTGAACAGCTGTATCTCTTCAAAAGTAATTTTTGGTGAACAGCACATCTGAGATCATGTATTTATCAGCACCTGAGGTGCTGAAGGCATGCTGAGGCATTGTGTTTTAAGTGAGTCATTTGGAGGAGTTTAACTCTGTCTAGATGTGCTGAAACCTGTATTTTCCTGTGGCTTTTAAAGCATCTTCAGGATTAGAGGGACACATTCCATACTCAGCCATAGGAAAGTAAATTCTATTACCTCCCAAATAATACCTCAGTAATGATGGAAGTATAAATTAAAGGACCTGTTGAGTACTTTCAGCTTTTCTGGAGGACACATTCTGGCTGGTAGTGCAGATGTTTGGGCTGCAAAATGGTCCACTGATTTAAAAATCTCATAAGTATTGTTTGCTCTGATAGATTGTTAGGACTCTGACTGAGTAAAAGGTAAGGTGTATTCAACAGATAGTGGTAGCTCTTTTCTTTTGTCAAATACTGTAAAACTTTAAAAACTATGCACTTTTGTTTTAAGCCAGTGATTCTCAACCCAGATGCCATGGCACCCTAAGGTGCCATGAGATCCTTTTAAGGGTATAGCGCAATATTAGTACTGTTAGGTGTGCAACCACCTACATAATTCAAAAGAGAAACCAGAGATTTCAAATAGAAATCCCATAGCATCAACACTCTGACCTGTTGTGGTATTTTTCTGCAACAGAAGAATTGCTCTATTATTTTTCTGTAGTGAAGAAAGAAGTGAAAACTAAGACCTGGCATTTTTTAACAGGTGCCTTCAGTTTAAAAAAGGTTGAAAACCACTGTTATAAACAAAGGGAGAAGAAAGTACAAAAAAACTGTTCAAGATCATAGTCTTCCTTAAATAAAGAATAGGGATTAAAAGTTGGAAAAAAGTGTCTTTATTTATCCTGCTGAATTATAATGCAGGAGGCATTATACACAAAAAGTTGATTTACCTAGCATATGAGCTAACATTTCTAAATGAGAGTGCCAGTCGTCACTCTCAATATCTTGGCTCTCTGGATTTGACCCAGATACCCTAAACTACTTTTTCCATGCTGGAATATATTTAAAGTGAATACTTGTATTTTTGTTGACATTTAAAAAATGTGTTTTGATAAAAGAGTTTATTTTATAAAACAAAGTTTATTGTGCAATCGTTTTTACTAGGCATTGAGCTGTTACTGTTCCCTCTGAAGGGAGCTTTGCCATTGGCCTTAATGGGAGCAAGATCAGACCCATCTTTGGTGATATTTCAGAAGTACAGAAATACTCTTTTGTTCAGTTTTGAATTTCCTTTGAAAACCTAAAATGTTAGAATGTGCGTGAAGCAATTACCTCCCACATTTCAGATCTTTATATAAATGTTGCACACAAAGAACATTTCATATGCCAGACTCATTATAAGAGGCCTTTTCTATATTTTTTTAAGTCTTGAGATACAAGTTTGATAATATTTGCATTTTTCTATAAAAATATTACTAAAATGACAGATTGGTCATCATTTGAACCAACATATCATGTAGATGATTTTTTTATGCTATTAAAATTAGTCATTTTCTGTTTGCACCAAAAGTTTACTATGTAGTATTGAATGCCATGAACATCAACATTATTTTTCTAGTCCTTTTATGTGTCTAAATTGTTTAAGTTGTAAGGGTTCATATCAGCAGGGTGAATTTCATTCATGACATTCAAGGTGGTCTATCCTGTGCCTCATATTAATGTGCCAATTATGGTATTTTCACATCCTACAGATACTTTTAAAAAAGGTGCTGAAATATTTTAACTTGAATTAAAAGCAAGGAGTATTCTATTGGAATTATTTTTTGCAAATAAATGCTACAAATTCAATGAAATGCCACTTGTTTTTGCAGCTTTTGAAGGGATTTTCAGTATTTCCTTCACTCCTTTTCCCCCAAGAGTCTTAGTTTTAAAATCTTTGTATCTTTATTTGAAGAGCTCTTATTTATAATATTCAGACACTAGCTTTATATTCTTGTTGCACTTTTATATTCTCTTGTTACATGCCTGTATTATGGTTGCAAGTTTATGTGAAAATTACTTGAATAAAATGTTTCAAGTGTTAAGAGTGTTTGGTTATTATGTTTTGCAACATGGGCCTCATCCATCTTTCACCAATGTCAGCTGGAGTCTTTGTTACCAACTTCAGGGGTAACTGGATAGGTTTTATATGGGTCAAAATGAAAGCATTAGGGCCTGGCAAAATTAGAAGCTGCTTAAAACAAGGTGTCTATTGGGAATTGTCTGGCAGCCTTACATGTTGGTGATGCTACCAGTTCTACGTATTATATATACACTGAAATTCAGCACAAATACATAACACCTGTGTAATCTAGATCTGTGAAATACAGATGTTGAATGGTTTGGGATTCAGTTATCTGAGACAGCCCTGTACCTTGTCATGGCAGCTATGATTAGTGAAGTGTATGAGTATTTTGAACACGGGATTCCCATAAATTATTCCCTTGGGTTTATGCTGAATAGTGTGTTGAGGTGGCTCATGCTTTCACAAGAAGAGTGGTAAGGGACAGGGGAGATCTATTCACTGAAACACAAATTCCTCTCTCACCAGGAAGGGAGCAGTCACCACTTCTTTGCCCGTGATGTTAAGTGCCACATGCTTGAAAACTGTACCAGGAATAGTCATGCTATAGTGCAATGTTTACCTCATATAATTAGGAGGGTTGAGGCAAAGTTCTTTTAGTTGTTCTTGGTATCTTCCGCACTGAAAATAACAGCTGTTTGCTGCAAATTAAAAAGAAAAAAATGCTCTTTATGGAAACCTGTCATGTCCCTAGTTTTGGTTCATCTGTGGCAGGAACATTTTTAAAATGTCCAGAGGAGGGCAATGAGAACGGGGGGGAAGAAAAAAAAAATCAGTTTTACTTTTGTTTTGAGCACAGCATTAACAGGAGTCCCGTGCATTTTTCCTTCCTGTAACACAGGCTTTTGGCAAGTGCCAGCTGTCAGCATCTCAGTTTAAAACACTCCTTGTTCAGAGGCAAAAGCACAATGAAAACGGGCTTCAACTCTGGAATTTGTACCTTTTTCAAGTGTATCAAAATCTAGTGACCTTCAGGGCATTACATACACCAACTAATGGGAAAGAGGATGTGCAACAATTGCAGCCACTGCACTCCTGGCAGCTGCACCACAATCAGTAGTCCAGCTGCAGCTGCTGCCCTCTATGTTGCCAATGCCAAGGGTACAGAACTGCGCAGTTCCAGTTCTGATTATGTAACATACTTCCATAAAGGTTTTGATTAAATTTTTGTGGTCTAATCTGTCTTTAAAATGCCTGGCAGCCATTAGGTGGTAGAGAAATAAGTAATGTGTCTCTGTAGCGTGTCAAAGGAAATACCAGTGAATAAGATACAATAGCAAACAATGCTCTGATACTTTGAGCCAGATACCATTTGAACCCACATACTAATAATATAGCTTACAGGCCCGTGTTTTGTCATTCTGGATAAATTTCACAGTAAAAACTCTCGTGAATTTAATAGAAATAAAAAACAAGAAAGCAGAACTTGTAACAAAATCGCCACACACAAACAAAACATGGAAGTAAGTGTATTACTGTAATGCCTAACAATACAAGAACAGCAGATTGGTCTGTGGTACAGCTAAAATAGCAGAAGCAGAGTTTTTGTGGGAACCTAGAAACCACGACAGAATTTCAATTCCATGAAAAGATACAGAAGTTCATTAGGAAATACAGCTCGACTGTATCCCAATACAAGCATGGCTTCTTGACCTGAAATACAATCCTGTACTTGACAATCCATGTACCTTAAGGTATCTAGTATAGACAACAGTAGAAAATATACTTCAGATACTTTGAAGAGCAAAGAGTTTCACACATATTTCAATAACTGCCTACATTCTGGACATCTTAAAACGTAAGATTTACAGCTTAAGGTTACACAATGTGCCTGACAAAGAATGAGATAATGACAGATCTAAACTTGAAACCAATTGGTCTGATCCAAAACCCAATGAAGTCAATGAAATACATGTTGGTTCTGGGCCTAATCTCAGTAACTATCTAAATTCCCTACATATAATTTAACATGTGTGTGTGTCTACTTTTAAATCTTTAAATAGGGATAGCAGTATTAGCATTTCCATAATTTGTTTTCTTATAAAGTAACTTGAAAATATAATGTCATCATTTTTCTATCAGTTTTCTTCAAGTACTTCAATTTCTCTTAAAACATTTCCATTTTAAGCTAATGATACATGCCTGAAGTGCAGTCTAGCAAGTTTCTGATAACATGGATTGAAACAGACCTTTACTTCTCTAACTTTACTAAAAACGATGTTGTTTTGTACTGACAATTTGGCTAAAGCTTGTTGGGAGTTAACAAACAGTCAAAGAAGGAAATTCCTTTTCAGCAGAACTTCAGTATTAAAAACAAATATTCAAACAATTACATAACTTCACTGTAGACTTACATAAAGATATATATGTTTTGCTAAGTGATCCATATTATGAGAAATTTCAGATAAATTCTCCAGACTCAGTTAAAAAAGAGCTCTAACTGCACTAAAATGAAATGAACACAAATCAAATCTCAATCATTACTACACATTCAATTCAGTAACTACAACAATAGTGACTTAAGTGGTGTTCAGAGTCCTCACCTAAGTGGTAATAATCCATAATATGCATGGAAGGCAGTAAAAAACACCTCTCACCTATGTAGATTCAAACTATACTCAATGAATACTGAAATGTGGAATAATATTGATGTCTGTGATCAGGATCTACCTGTGAAAAATTAAAAAGCCTTTTTACTAAAAAGAAAGATGCTCCGATGTATCAAGAGACTTCAGGAATATCCTTATGGTTAGAGACTATAGCTTTTAGAAATTATCTTTCTGAATCCTTATCTGCCAAGAAGAACTGGCACCTAAGGGACATGCAAAAAACACACAAAAACATGCTTTAGGATAAAAAATTCTTACCTTTATCTGCTTCTAACTACGTATCGTAGACACTACATTTTCTTAGCATTTCAAATTTACACCTTTTCTTTCAATTATTGGGAGTCAAAAATTGGGAAACTTGCAGTTGCCCAGAAAATATTAGCTGTCTGTGGAGAAGCATTTTATAAGTGATAACAGCTAACAAAAGGAGAGAAAGCATTTCCTGTGTTTTATTGAAACCAGAAAAAAAATGCACATCAAATTTGTTTGGACTAGAACTAATCCTTAAAAAAAGATTCTTGTCTAGAAAATAACTCTTTGGGGGAACAATCAAAAAATTGGATTGGAAGGCACATTTTTCTTTACACTTTCATTTCTCATTTTAATATTTTGGAATTTGGTTGGATGAAACCTCATTGTGCAACTACGTTTAAATTATGTAAAATGAGGAACATTGAAGAGTTCCTTCAGAAAAGAATACACATGACTATGGCACTTATCCAAGCTACTAATTTAATCAAAGATGGGCATTGCTTTTTTAAAAGGTTAAATCTTTATTCCTACCTAGAATTTGCTATTCCATGAAAACTACCTGGCATTTCTTCCTTGACACATCTATAAATTTATCAACCTTATTCAAACTTATTCAGGTAATAGACTTCTGAACTTCTCCCAGATGAAGTAAATGTATACTTTTTTTACATGATTTATAATACAGTTCATATTAAGAACTATTAACATCTTTTCCTAGATAAAAAAAACACTTATCTTTCCCATAGCGTCTCATATTGAGGTCCTTAAATAGCAATCTTGAACTAACTTTACATAACAAAAATGCCAATGTAGGAAACAAAGAAAACCTGTCACACTACAGGATACAAACTCCATCCATAGATCCACTTGCTCACTTTGATCGGCATTTCACAGGTGGCAACCCTTAAAGCCATACCATGTGAGCTTCCAATCAGTCTATTCATAAAGGACATGAAATGAGTGAAAGTCCTCCATAGAAATATATTACTAAATCTGGGATAGGTATTTCATGCCAAAAAGGTTTTTAAAATTTACATCACATTTCACAAGATCAGGACAGTATAATGAAAATAATATAGGAAAAAAATTGTAAATATTTTTTTGAAAAAAGAAAGACTTTTGTAGTTCTCAAGCACTGTAGCATGTTCAGCTTTTAAACAACATTGTATGTATTAATTTTAACCAAAAATAAGAAGTACTCTCCAGTCCAAATACACAGCTACTTCATGTGTAAATACTGTCAGTTGTGAACTTCTTTAAAATCTGAATCTTCAGAATGATCTTTAAAAATCTGAATTCACGTGTAAAAAGTTCAGTCATCATCAAATTTAATCTTTTTCCCCTGGAATGCTGTAATTTGAGACACCTGTTGCTGACGTTTCTTGCTTGCCTCCCATGAAGGATGAAGAGGTTGCTGCAAATGATTTTTCTTATTTTCATGCTTTATACCTGCAGCTTTAGCAGGCTGGTGTTTCCTGAACTCTGGTTCCTTTTTTGGAAAAGCTGTGCATAAAGTACAATATAAAATATTAAATGCAATTATCTGATGAACATTCATAAAACCATGCAAAATCACATGCTAAAAGTGGCACAAGATAATGGTAGGTATTTAATAGAAGCCATTGTACAAATACAAAGTTTGAAACAATCTCTGATCTATTCCTTATGAGCCATGTGTACCACATGCACATGCACAAGAAACACATGAATGCACTTCTTTTATTCACGGCTCAATGGCTTTAAAGTCAGGCGTTCTCCAGATTCTTACAAGTCAGCAAACGATTGCTTTGTGAACAGCAAATATGCTCAAGATGACTTGCTGCTGCCAAACAGCACTGGGGTCTAAGTGTAGAACTTGTGTGGAATTTAATTACCACATGGGAACTAAAGGCTCACAACAATCTGTGTTTACTGTTGATTTCACCAGCAAGGGATTAAACAGCACTTTCCAAATATGAAACTAAAAACCTAATTTGGTGCAGAAAAAGAAACAAAGCAAAAATTACAGAAACCAGGATCATGTTAAAATACTGAAATGATCAAATAAATACATAAATAAACCCTTCTGTTCTTCCACTGGGATGAACCAATGGTTAAGATTAATAGTCACTGAGGGTTCCAGTACTCTTCAAAGAGTAGGAGTTTGCACTTAAACTATCTCAGCAATGTTCAGGTGCCCAGCAGCATGGTCTTTGCAGGGCTCCCACAGCTCACCACAGCTTGGGCCAGAGCGCTAGCTTTCTCCTTCCCTTCCCCTTGGCTTGTGTTGGAAACAGGCTTTTTCCTCAGCACAAATGTAACACCTGTCCATAGTCTGAGACAGTAACTTTTACCCTGAGCAGCCCTACTGAAGCAGACTCATGCAGTAAACTACTCAACACAGAGGAAGGTAGAGTGCAGGACTATATGGCTCCTGCATAGAAAAATATTGTTTTCCAGACCATTATGAGTTAATAGCACACATTATGTATATCTACAAGAATCTGGGATTCTGAGTTAACGTGCAATCATTTGACGTTTGATCATTCAGGCAAAAACATCTTTGAATAGAAGACATAGCACTGATAAACAAAAGCAAAACCAGCCTAATGGGGCTTCCATGGTTCTCCTGCTTTACCTGTTGCAGGTTGGGGTGTCTGTGTTGTGTCAGGGTTGATGGTAGTCTCATGTAGAGTGTAGATTATAGATTGTATAGGATAGGGACGATCCTGCCTCAGGCAGGGGGTTGGACTAGATGACCTCTGGAGGTCCCTTCCAGCCCTGCTTCTTTTTTATGATACTCTAAGTCTACCTCAAAAGGATTTTTTAAAATTTATTTTTGGTTTCTACGACATTACCAATACATACCTGTTCTTCTGTTTTTGGGAAGCTGTTCCTTTACATTTCTGAAAATAAAATAAAAGTGTAAGGAACATGAAAAAAAAAAGATTAAACTAAAAATAATTTGCCCCCAAAATGGACAGCAGCAGATGGAAGCCAGACACATTTGTTGCCTTCAGTGCACAGAGTTTCGGGGAGGTAAGACTTTGCTTCCCTCTCCTCCTCTCCACAATAGTGATCAGTGTACCTCCCCAACTCTTGCACTCCTATGGGTGCTGTATGAGCTTGCTACATCTCTGCTATATAGCACTATTGTTAACCAATAGCAGAAACTGTTTAAAGTGTAACAGAGATATTTATTAAATGACTACAAGAACTTAATGAGTGCTGACAAACTAGTGCCATTTCTAGAACAGGGATGAATTTGAAAAAAAGGGCATAAGGGTAAAGGAAGTATGGAAAAAGGCCAGAGTACTGTGACTAGATGCATACAGACTGATTGATTGAAAGTCTGCATATTTGATGAGCAATATTAAAAGTCACAACCATTTCTATTACTATAACAGAATGGGAGGGGAGGGAAGTGAGGTGGGGCATGGCAGGGAAGCTTACCTCCTCATATTTTTGGATTTCTGTTGAGAGCTGGACAAAGAAGTGCAAAATACAGATTCTAGCTTCTTTGCTTTAGCACTTGGGTTGTTTCCTTCTGTGTTCACATCCTTTCTTGTCACAAATTCTGAGTCCTTTACTGCTTTTAGTAACATTTTTGGGGGTATTTTCTTTGCTGAAGAATGGTTAGAGTCTGCCACTCTCCTCCTCTTTTTCTGCTTTACTTTGCCGATAAAGAAATCATCACTGCTATCGTTATCTTCAGAATCTGATGACTGGTTATAAAACCTCTCTTCAGTGCTGTCATCAAAGTATTCCTTATGTTTGTCATTTTCTTCAATATCACTAACATTGCTATCTGACTCCTTAGTAGTAATAACCTTGTTCACACCTGTAAGTTTCTTTTTTTGGGGCCTGTCAATTCTTTTTTCTGTTTCAGCCTGAACAATTGCCTGCATTTCCAAAGCCGGGAATGGAAGATCGTCTAGAGCGCATGTTCTCTCAGCTTCCAAAGTCTCCTGACTGGACTTTTTCTCACCAATTTCTTTACCCTGTGTGTTTGTGTCTGTTCTCACATTCACCTTCATTTTGCTTCCATCCTCCTTCTGTTTTTGAATTAATTCAAAATGTTGGTCTTCTCTATTGCTATTAGAATGTTTCACCAATTCAGGTTGTTTTGATTTACACTCCTCTGAAGAATGAGCTTTGGCTGCCATCTGTCTTGCAGCTTTAAAGGCTTTTACAGCAGCTAGAAAAAAAAAAGCAAAAAAATAAACAGAAGGTTCTTTGATAACAACACATGCCAATACAAATGTTAATTGAAATAATGTAAAAAAAACTGAAAGTTTGCAACCTAAATAATTTAACAAATAGGATTTTCAGTGTCTGTATTTGATTATTTATTGTGTAACGTTAGGGGCTAAAAATGTTTTAAATAGAGGTGTCAAACTCACCTCCTGCCCTCAGCCAGATCCAGACCACAGGGCTCTTTGTGGGCCATATCCAGCTTGAGGCACAAAGTGATTTTGGCAGTGACAGCAGCTCCAGCTTTCACCACATGCCCATGACCCATGCTGCAGCAACAGCTCTACCTCCAGCACAGGGGACACAGTGGCAACATCTGTGGCTCTGGCATGTGGCAGTGGTGGTGGGGCTGGTGGCTGAGAAGGTAGGGCCATGGTGGTGGCAACGGGCAAAACTGCTAGGGTTGTATCAGCCCTCATTCACTTTGTGACTAACTGCCAGGTCCACTAGGGCCCAAAGTCCTCAGATTCTGTGGCAGGCTACTCCCCTTAGCCATACACCCACGAGTTTCATTTGCCCACTGGTAGCTCAGGAGGGCAGACAGAGCAGGTCCATGGGCCAAATTCTTTGATACTTTTGGGTTAGAGTATAGTATCAGTATTAATAAGAAATGTGGAAAACAAATCTCAACAGGGGAAGAGGCCAGCTTATTGAAACACCTAGTTTAAAATCAAATATAAGCTTATCAGCAGAGGTGCAGTTTACAGTTTGACGTAAGGAGATACTTGGGGTATGAAAACTGAGTGCTAATAATATGCAAACATATAATTATAATGGGTATCTAACCCTGTCTATTATTAAATAAGATTATTTTCATCATAAGTTATTTTTCTCACATGGTCATCTTTTCTAAACCTTTCACTTTTTGTTCTCCTTTTACCTCTGTGGTGTTTTTTTTTAATTTTAGGGATATTTATTTTTTTAAAAAGTAAACTGCAGTGGAACTACAATCTTCCCCACAGTAACAACCCACATGCCTCGAACTCTTTTTAAGGGAATCGGCACTACAGGCAGGATGGGAGAGTGCAGTCTCTAACCTCATTCATTCCTGCACTTCTGTATCGAAACTCAAAAGGTATGCATTCATGCTAGCTGTGACAGTTAGTTGGTCATTAGGATCCAACAGCATTTTTTAAAATTTAACATTAGTCATGCTATTTCATATTTCGTGCAGCAGGGGTATCAAACTCACCTGGTCCCTAAGAGCAGATCTAGGCTGGATTTGCAATGGAAAGAGCCTTGCAGGCCAGACCCAGACTTCCCGCTGGTAGTGGGGTGAGTGGTGACAGCATCAACTGCCATGGGTGCCTACCTTGCTTAGTTTCCTCAGAGAACAGTGGGGATTAATGGGATAGGAATTTCAAAGGAGCATAAGGGAAGTTGGGTTTTCTGAAAAAAATCTCTTGTTCTTTATCATATACGTACAGTAGTGTCAATGCAGAAGAAGCTTATGGATTTTACAAATTATAAGTACAGTTCTGCTAGTGACTATGCCATTGACAGTTTTAGAAACTACTGAGTAGCTAGGAAAGAATAAAGGGCTGGTGTAATCTTAGCTAACTGGATTGGGTCTGATAACACAGGTGCAAAACATTGCACATATCTGTATGTAGATATTACTGTAGATCCGAACATAAAAGCAAACTAACCAAGATAATGTGTAAGCAGACAAGTACATTTATATGCACATTTGAACAGGGTTAAGTAGTTTTTCATACCTTTAATATCAGCAATTTTTGTCTTTAAGAGTGGGTGTGCTGCTAGCCTAGCAATTGCTCGGTCAACTGTAGTACAGTTGGGCTGTAAAAAAAGAAACCCGTTTGAAACTAATCAGATTTACTGAAAACAAAACAAAACAAGAATGTGGATGTATGGTGGTAGTGTAGATTGGCATGATTCATGCCATAAGGCATACTAAGGAATTCTGTACCTCTCAGTCCATCAAAAAAACCGAAGAGATAAATTAAGGATGTTATCAGGTTTGTATATCTCTTTTATTGTAAACTACTCTCTCAGGTCACTCCAAGGCATGTGGAAGAATCTAACTGGAGAATAATTTATAAGAGCATCACAAACATGCACCTCTGCAATTACACAAGTAATAAATACAGATAACACTGTGATTTTTATGTTCAAGAATGTTGTCTAAATATCATCCAGATGCAGTGTACTGTAACTTTACACTCATTGCATATTTGCTATGAGTGCAGCTCATTTGCTACTGGTCCACAGTAAGTTCAAGAAAAGGCAGAAAAAACTATATACTCCAGGCCAGTTTTATTTTCACTATTTTACATTATAATACTGATGACCTTCCTTTTTGGCTAAACTTTGGAACTGCTATGAATTCCTTCCAATATGGGCCACAACTTGCTAAGCATTTTTCAAACGTAAGATAATGAGTCTTTGTCCCCAAGAGCTTTCTGTTCTAAAAGACAAAGGAGTAGTGAAAGGGATACATTATATAATCAGTAAGACTCAAATTAGCCAATGGCCACACTTTATTAATACAGAGTTTTCAATATAAAATGTACTTAAGTAAATAGGTAATGAGGAGACTGGGATAAACAGAATAATCACCACATAAAGTAGTCTTCAGAAGACATTTCAGTGTTAAGGGTCTTGTACAGTTGCAGACCAGCTGAAAGGGGCGTTCCACTGGGGGTGGGTGATTTGAATTGAAATGTGCATGAGAAAAGCAGCTTGAATTAGGCATCAAATTGACATAACTTAGAGAGTAAAGTTGGTGAGTGAAGATGCTTAAAGAGTAGATTATTGGGGCGGGGGAAGAAACAAGGTTTGAATGGGAAAGAAGTTTAAAGTTGATGCAGTAGAGCAGGGGAAATCAGCAGAAGGATTCAAAGAAGAGGCTGGCATGGAAAAAACGACGAGGAAAAATGATACTGGTGACTCAATTTGTGTGTGAAGACAGAGACAGGCAGCAGTATGGATATCATGGGAGTAAGAGAAGAGATTGACATTAAACAGGGAAAAAACTATTATAGAGGCTATTTACTCCTCCTTCCCTTCTGATGTTGTCTCTTTTTATATGCTAGAAGACAACATATTTTTAGAAGGGGTATACTTTCTTAAGAAATGTTGACCATTTTACTGAAAAAGTTCCTAATGGAGAAAAAAAGACCTGGTTAAAATTTTTTCAGTTAATTCTTTTGTTGTTGTTGGTAGTTTCTCAGAGAAGAAATTGGGAAGGTAGGTAAGAAAGAAACCAACCCCCCCCCCCCCCCCCAAAACAAAAAAATTTAGGGGTTAAAAAACCCGGGGGGGGGGGGACCGCGGAGGGGGCTGTTA